AAGTAATTGCTTAAGATGTCCTCTAACCTCTTCAAACATAGACGGGGGTATGCGGCGATGGCGTTGTTTGAATGGAATATCATCAGTTAGATCTATTCTATGCTGAACTGCTGAAGAATGTCCTAAATCCAAATCACCTTGTGAAAAGACATCTTTAAATTCAGAAATGACTTCCATACCTCTTGTCAATTCTTCATTAGTCAAGTCACTAGGTTCTATTTCAACCTTTTCTAACAATGAATCAACTCCCAAACTACCATCTACCTTGGGCACATCCTCAATAGTAACAGGCTGTAATTCACAAACAACTGCCCTTGGAGGTATAACAACAGTGCGAGTTGTAACATTGGAAATGTGTACCTGAACTGGACCTGGATTCTGATAACGGTAAATGCTTAATGTGGGCGAGATATCTAAGTCAGTTGGCACAGCTGAATTCTCACATGATTGTGTCATGGCTGTAACTTGAGGATAACACAAACCTTTGTCAACATAACCCTGTATCACTACCTGGGAGTTAGCTGGAATAACAATGTTACGAGACTCAGCATTCTTCACAAGTCCTAAACGGTAACTATGCCTAGCCAATTGCTTCTCAGCCAGAACCATGCTACGGAAGGACAAATACCAAGGTGTATGCAAGTTTGCTTTTGTAGAAATCTTGGTCCATGCCTATCCCGACAACTTTCCAACAGTGTTGACAACACATTTGTCCCAAACAAAACTGGAACTGAATGATTATATCTACTGGATGGAACTACCAACAACATACATGGTAACTTATCACCTCCTGCCAAACCTTTAGCCTCAAAATCTGCTATGATAAATCCTAAGTATGGAAGTGGATTCCCATCAGCACATTCTATGTCCAGTACTTTGTCAAGTTGATGAATAGGAAGATGTTCTAAGTTCTTTCTATAAAATTCTTCACTAATTGTTGAAACGGTGGATCCAGTGTCTAACAATGCCTTACAAGATAACCCTGCAAGTATGACATCTACTTCATTGGCTTCACCAACTAATCCTTCTGGTTGTGACGACCATGACTTCGAGGGGTTGGTACTGAAGTGGCCCCTGCTTCCCCCCTCCGCCCAGGGCCGCTTCGGTTTAAAGACCGACAGTGATCCAAAATAACCCTACATCCTATTTGCAAATGTCCTGGATATCCACATCTCCAACATACGGGTTCCTTGGTTTGTCCAGATGAACTCTGATATTTGGGACTATCCACCTCAGGGCACCGCTTATAGGTATTTTTAGATTCTGTTGATGCATTACCACCATGTGGATGGAAGGATTGACTATGCTGAGTAACCTGTTGTTTAAATGATCCTACTTCAGTTGACAAACACTTCACCATGGTCTTAAGTTCATGCATATCTGAAGAATCATTAACCTGTGTTACCTTAACAGGAGTTGGTTTCTTGCTGACATCTGACCTAGCCTTTCTGTGATCCAAGTCAAACTCAATTCTCCGGACAGCAACCCTCAACTCATCAAAATCCTTAATGGAATCGTATTTGTGAGCAGACAAATCCTTCAGTGTAGGTAACAAGCCTTGCCAGAAAACACTTCTAAGGGCATTATTAGTGTCAACAGGTGAAGTTTCAGAATGGCGAGTAGCTTTAGCATAAAGATCTTCCAATCTACATCCCCATGCAGTCACTGTTTCAGTAGTTTCCTGTTTGGCACTGTAGAAACAAGCTATCAGAGACTCGCGTTCCTCGCAAAATGCCATATACACTCTGTAGTTTATACAAGATGGATTGAATGTCAGCTTCAGGACCTAACCTCATAGCTACACGACCTGCTTCGCCTTTAAGTGAACGTCTGATGGCTTGGAAGATAACATGATGCGGTAAGCATTTTCCTTCATCAAACAATCTGTTTCATAACGCCAGAGATCATAACTTGCTTCCCCTTACCTGGTTCTCCATAGAAAATGGACAGCCTGGGAATCTGACTAACAGTGGTGCTGTGCTTACCTATTGATGGCTGATTCTGGGCATCATCTTCAAGTTTCCCCTCGGGCCACTTACCCTCAGCCTTTAGACTGTTTACCATCCATGTGCTTATATCATCAGGCTTTTCTATGATTGTTGGAAATATGCCTAGTTGTTTCAATGTATTACCCAAACTAACAACCTCTGGGTCTACTTCTACCTGCTCAGGATCCTGTTCATTAAGTGACATCTTGCTCAAAGAATGCAAACCTAATTCAGAATCAGAATCTGACATGACCTAGAAACCCATTTGCCTCACTAGGAAGGTAGGTTACCATTCTGCCACAGTACAAAATAAAACACATGGGACCCCCTAAACATAAAAAAGTAAACAATCACTGACACATAAGTGGTCTTAGTTGTGCAGGGTGTAGTGCTCAAATGAAATTTAAATTGGCTGAATTATATATAGTAATAAATTTTAATATTGTTCAGCTGAACTTCAGTATATTTAGTTACTAATGTATCTTAGAACCCACTACCACTAACAACCACCAAACACGCAGACAATCCAACCAATCACTTTACTCCTTTCACACAACAAAACATGATTAAGAATATGTTGCAACCTATGTCCTCTCCCTAATCAAAGATGGCAATATCACATCTCACAATTCATTCCATGATAAAAATCAAATTGGATTCACAATACATTTAAAGTACATTCAAGATATCACAAATCACCCAATATCACCACTCAACATAATCACAATCAGGTTTCAAAATAAAACCTTAGTATCCAGTCTCTATCACTGCGTTGTAATTAGTCAGCAGTGTCCAATGCAAATTGAAGACACACACAGCATCTGAATATCACAAACAATGTGAAGCACAACTTGATATCAGTCCTACCACATGGCCAACTTCCCAAATCCCTCTGTGGACGACTCTTGGAGATTGGGATCCTCACTGGGGGCTCCAAATGTGACCAGGTCTTCAAAACAATAAAGTCGCTGGTATAGGGGAGGACATTTTATTCTCCGTGAGGTAGTTAAATCCACAAAACATCACCCTGAAACATTTAACAATAATTCAATGGACAGCAAACAATCATTCTATAAGAATATTGTATATCACAAATAAGGGTAACATTTCATTGGTTGCATTAATTAAATTAAAATCGTCATGTTACACAAATACACACGCACACCACGTTCCAAACATTCAAAACATTCACACAATGTACTAAGGAAAATACACCTTACCCATCTATGGAATGGAATGGAGTTTACTATTCTACCCGTTTGGCACCTGCAAACAACATTTGCTAAGTTCACAAAATTGCCAAGGCATACAAAAGTGCACACTACAATTACATGTTATGCTAGAAATAATTTGCTAATTATTTATTTGTAATATTTTAAAAGTTTTACTCAAGCATAATATAACTGACAACCTCTAAAGTTAATGTGTTAAACAAAACAAGTATTCAACTAACCTTCTGTGGCAAGTAACAGTGCTGCTGCTGTGCTGTGCAATGCTGGATACTAAGTGCCATGTGCTTGGACACTCAGTGTATTTAATATGCCTAAAAAAACTTGTACCCAATCAGAGGCTTAATCTCTGGTCACATTACACACAATATGAAATTGAGGCCAGAATGAACCACCTCACTTCCTTAGTGATGTAAATATTCCACAAAGGGGCATAATTCAGATGCACCTCAACCACATAGAATTTTATGAACAAACCCTCACCAAACCTTTTATCAGTTTTGTAAATCTGATTTTAAACAACCACAATGTTTATTAAATAACCCTTCACCAATGAAAGCTTTAAACATATTTTTGGATAATTTTATAATTACATAAAACACCTTCACCTGAACAATAAAATCTGATATGTCTCAATTGACATCATATCCTGTTACATATCTTATATATATAGATCATACATATACATATATCAGAGTCGGGCGCCTATGCAATCATCTTGCTGTTGCCCGCCACGCAAAACCAGAGGAAAGCGTTGGAACCGTGTTCCCGCAAGGTGTGCAAGCTACCGGAAGGTTTACAGTATGACTGTACATACAGCAGCTTCCATGTACATTAGTATTGTAACGGTTCTTCAAACCAGAGCAATATACATCATCGTACTACTGCACGAATATCAGCTCACATAACTATCGCACTTCCTCTGTAACCTGGCGACAACAACACGCCTGAATTACACCAGTTCTTAATCTGTCCCCACTCTCGCAAAATGAAACATGGAAACAAAATGTTAAATACTGGAAACGATATACTTTGCATATAAATATAATGACCGTAAAGCGAGAATGAACAATCCAAATACCCGTATTTAGGGCCACCCGTCCCCTTTCCTAAATCAAAGTTCCACACCACTAGGAGAAAGTAATTTCCTTCAAATGCATTCTTCAAACGAAAGAAATAACATTTCGTTCTCGTTCTTTTGTTTGGGGTTGTTTTTATTTTGTTGTTTTTGAATTATTATTATTTATATTTTATCATTTCTTAAATATTTTTTGGGGTGGGGTGGGGTGGGGTGTTGCATCGGCCATATTTCAGCCATATCGTGACTAAGAAAGTTGCAAATTTATAAATGACTAAACTAAAGTTAGATTATATACTTACCTGTCTGTAAAGGACAGTAACATAACTAGAATATCACAGAGATACATTTAAAACTAGTAATCTAAAATATTTTAACTACAAATGACAATACAGTATAAAATCAGACTATAGATCTCCAACAACTGACGTAGATCACTATACTAGGGACCATGGGGATTTACACCATACTTTCAGCCGTTAGCAATTTCGACAAAACTAGCCATATAATAAACAGACACATAATCTACGATTAAAAACGTGGAAAGGTTTAATTTACTTTGAATGTTTTAGGACTTACGTACCCTCTCAGGAGGACAATAGTTTTACAGTATTTTAACCCCCCTTGAGGATACAGCCACTAACAATATGAGTTACTAATTTAAACTTCCAATCATAAAATACTTATGTGTTAACAAATCTATTCCTTTCAAAAATGCAATAACTAAATGAGAACTGATATCTTTTAAAATGACCCTTTATAGTTCGTGATTTGAGTTGTCGTATCAGGATCTAATATTATCTAGGTGGGTTTACATTATTGTCAGCTTACGATATTGGCTTACTTACCACGTGTGCAGTCGTTTAGGAGTGAGTGAGTGAGTGTCTGTGTGTGTGCGTGGTAGCACTAACATCTCGCATCTCGTTTTCGAGGGTTTAGTTTTGGGGAGATGGTCGTCGGGCGTGATATGGAATGTGATAATGCGGAGACAGTTGATGAAGATTTCATTTCATTTGATTTTAAGAAATATGTACTGACACTGAATTTGCCACACACCATAACAGTGGAATAAAATATGGTTCATTTTTTTGCAATTTAAATAGTCACAATGTGCTGTGGGCAAGTAAAATAGACTGTCATGAAACAGTTGTTGGAAACCATTTTGATGAATCAGACCTGGTGGTGATGAAATGGCACGAATGGATTTTGGAAAATCCTAACTGTAAATGGGTTGATCCCTTCCCAGTACTGAATGAAATTCTTGTAAGTTCGCTTAGATCTTCTAATGTACACGTTCCCCTGTGAAAACGTAAACATGCAAACTGATCCGATTGTTTTTTCTCTGTTTGCGGACCGCCTCCGTGGTGTAGTGGTTAGAGCGTCCGCCCAGAGAGCGGAAGGTCGCGGGTTCGATCCATGACCGCCTCATACCAAAATACGTTAAAATATGGTACTTGTTGGTCCCTGCCTGGCGCTCGGCATTAATGGGTACAACAAGGACTGGTCGGCTCGGAGTCAGTATAATGTGTCTGAGTTGGGTAGCACTATAAAACCGGCTTCAGTCTGGGCTACTACAAACAGCCGCACATACACATGCACGTCGTGATATGAGCGAAATATTCTCAAGCACCTCACCTTACCTCACCTCGCCTCGCCTCGCCTCGCCTCACCTCACCTCGACTCACTCCGAAACATATAATCTTCAACCTGCCACCACCACATTTTCCAGGGCCATTGTAATGACTTCACAAAGACGTTTGAAATGTTTTAAAACTCTTTATCCGTTATTATAAACGCCAGTACTGTATCTCCAGGCGGTGGAAAACTAATATGCGCCTAAACGCAGAAAACATGTAGTACCATCCAGCGCCATGTGCTTTTGTCAGGAAAACACAAGGGGAGACAACCCGTGTGGCCTCAATTTGCCTGCCATATAGAAGGGTAAAATTTAGTACAGATGGTAAAAAAGATCGAAGCGCTCGTAAAATATCACGTCAATGACGAAAGTAAAAACCACAGGCATTCTTTAGATATTTGCCCATCATCTCCTTGTACACCATGCCCTCAGTTACTCCAATGTAGGACTGTGTAATTGATTCTAGAAAAACAGAACTAAATAGCAAGTAAGTGAAATATTATTTTACATGGCTTTATTTCAGCTATATTGTAATGTGGTGTACAAGAAGCAAACCGAAGACACGACAGAGTGAGAAATCAATGTAAAGAATAGTGAAAGAAAACCAATTCATATTATCATATAGTAAAGGTCCTTACAATTTAACCCTTGTGGTGCGGCTTCAATTTGATGTGCTAAGAGCTGTGTTAGCTCAGCAAACACCTGTTCCATAAGAATACCTTAATTTGTCTTACCTACTAGAAGTGAGCATAGATTTGTGACCTTTTATCCCAAATTATCAACATGTCCTTCGATATTCATTTAAGACATCAGGCCGTTTGTCATATATCTCTAAAATATATGTACATATTAAAAGTGAGTGAGTGAGTTAGTATTTAACGTCACATCGGCAATATTTCAGCCATATCGTGACGAGAACATTTGACATTAAGAAATAGAATATATATAGATATTATTAAAACCTGCCGACGAAGGCAGTAAAAATACTAGACAATCACAGATATGAATATAAAACTAGCAAACAAAGCTAAAATATTCCAATGAAAGAAGACAATACAATGTAAAAATGGGCTATAGATCGCCAACAACTGAAGGTAGATCACCATACTAGGAGCCATGGGGACTTATATTACTTTTGCTACCTGCATGGACCCTAGCTGGATTTACACCATCCCTTCAGCTGTTGGCGTTTATACCGAGAATTAGCCATACATTAAAATGACAAAAATACTACGATTAAAACACCTGGTATACTTAAATGCACTTGAAATGTTTTGGGACTTACGTACCCTCTCAGAAGGACAATAATTTTACGCTACTTCAACCCCCTTTGAGGGTACAGTCATCAACAATCTAAGTTACTAATCAAATCTACCAATAATTAAAATACAGATATGTACACAGCATATTATTCAAAATTCATTCATTAAGTCAATTTCTTTTAAAAATCAAATAATTAAAAGAGAATTAACAGTTGTAAAAAGATCCTTAACTGTTTTCACATTGAGTATTTATCCCTTATGGTGGAGAATTCAACACAGTCAAGCAGGACATGCTTGACCGCGGTTCTCTCATCACAAGGGATACAAAACGGAGGATCCTCCCCTTTCAATAGGTACGCATGCGTGTATCTAGTGTGGCCAATACGACATCGTCGCATAATGACCTCTTCAAATCTGGACTGACAACCCAAGTAGGTATAACCAATATAGGGTTTTATTTCATGTAATTTATTAATACCTACTTGGGTGTCCCACTTCTTCTGCATCAGATCACGGATGTAGGTTCTAATGCTAGCTTTGTAATCAGAATATGGGATAAGAAGTGGTGTCACAGGTTTGTTGAGTTCTGCCTTAGCAGCAAGATCAGCCATTGTGTTCCCAGAAATGCCAACGTGGCTGGGTAACCAACAAAAGACGATGTCGCATTGGCCAGTAGCAAGCTCATTATACAATTCAATAATTTCTAATAAAAGTGGATGTTTACAAGAAAGATTTTTAATAGCCAGAAGACAAGAAAGAGAGTCAGAAAAGATTATGTATTGTTTATGTTTAGGGTGTCTATTTATATATTTAAGAGCTGTTAGTATTGCGTTTGCTTCTTCTGTGAAAATTGAACTGTCATTGGGTAATCTGGAAGATATTGTTTTGGACCCAATGACAGTGGCACAAGCAACCGCGCCACCATCCTTGGATCCATCTGTAAATAAGGATTTATATGTATTATATTTACTTTTTAATTGATTATATTCTTGTTTATATTGTAATTCATTTGTTTCTGATTTTTTAAATGTTGTAAGTGTTAAGTAAACTTCTGGTCTAACTAACTGCCAAGGCGGAGAAGAAAGAAGACGGGAAGAAGCTATATTTTCCAGCTCAATGCCGGCAGCAGCAATAAATGGCTTAATTCTGAGCCCAAGAGGCGGAACAAGAGAAGGTTTTTGGTTATACAAATCCTCATAAAGAGGATTAAAGACACAGTGAAACGCAGGATTAGACTCGTTAGAATATACTTTTGTAATCTATTGTAAAGATAATTTTATACGGCGTTGGTTGAGAGAAGGTTCATCTGCCTCGACGTAAAGACTGTCAACAGGAGAGGTTCTAAAAGACCCAAGACAAAGTCTCAGACCTTGATGGTGGACTGAATCTAAGAGTTTTAGGTTACTTTTACAGGCTCCACCATATACGATGGAGCCATAATCAAGCTTCGAGCGGACAAGTGATCTGTAAAGGTGGAGGAGAGTAGCTTGATACCCTCCCCACCTTGAATTAGACACGACTTTCAATAAATCGAGTGCCTTCAGGCATTTAGTTTTTAGGGATTTGATATGCGGAAGAAAAGTTAAATGGGAGTCAAAAATGAGACCTAAGAACTTGGCCTCTTTTACAACCTTGATGGGAGTGCCATTTAAAAACAGTTCAGGATCTTTATTCGGTTTATATTTACGGCAGAAATGTATGCAATTTGTTTTTGATTTAGAAAATTTAAAGCCGTTTTCAAGACACCATTTATGTATTTTATTTAAACACAACTGTAGTTGCCGTTCAATGGTATGCATATTCTTACCGCGACAAGAAATGTTAAAATCATCCACAAAAAGTGATCCATCAATTGAATCATTTAAAACCTTGGATAGACTGTTGATCTTAATGCCGAATAAAGTGACAGACAAAATACTGCCTCGTGGGACACCCTGATCCTGATTGTAATGGTCAGACAGGGTTGAACCAACTCGGACTTGAAATTGCCTGTCTTTTAAAAACTGTGATATAAAAAGAGGTAAACGACCCCTTAAACCAAAATCATGTAAATCCTTTAAAATGCCATGCTTCCAGGTGGTATCGTACGCTTTCTCGAGATCAAAGAATATCGATACTGCATGTTGTTTATTGACTATTGCATTTTTGACAAAGGATTCTAAACGTACCAAATAATCAATGGTACTACGATTTTTCCTGAAACCACATTGGATATTTGATATCAAGTTGTTGGTTTCAAGATACCAAGTTAATCTATTATTCACCATTCTTTCCATGGTTTTACAGACACAACTCGTTAAAGAGATTGGTCTATAATTAGACGGATCAGTATGATCCCGGCCAGGTTTTGGAATAGGCACTACAATTGCCTTTCGCCTGAAAGTTGGGAAATTCCCCGAAGTCCATATTGAATCAAAAATATTTAGAAGTGTTTCCAAACATGATTCCGGTAAATGTTTCAAGAGCTGATAGTGTTTATTATCAGCTCCTGTTGCTGTATCATGAGCTTGCTCAAGGGCAGTGTGGAGCTCATGTAATGAAAATAATTCGTTATAGTCTTCGCCATTGTCTGAGTTAAAATTTATTCTCTTCTTCTCCTGTTTTTTCTGATAATGTTGAAATTCTGGGACATAATTTGACGAAGAAGAATGTTTGGCAAGAGTTTCACCAAGCTTATTGGCAATGTGAGACTTATCAGTTAATAAACTGTCACCATCCTTCAGATGGCGAACAGTAGATTTGGAACCTTTGCCCTTAATTCTTTGGATCATGTTCCACACCTTTGAAATTGGGGTGCGTGAATTTATCTTGGAAACGTAGTTTCTCCAAGACTGACGCTTATTCTGTTTAAATGTGCGTCGAGCCTTAGCATTTACATTTTTTACTTTGTCCAAATTATGGACCGTAGGATGTTTGCGAAAAAACTTTTCGGCTTTCTTCCTACTCTTTCTGGCCTGTTTACAATCATTATTGAACCATGGTTTGCGAATGTGAGGATTTGCAGAGGACTTAGGTATTGTTTGATCAGCTATGGCAGTGAGCTGATCTGTAAATAGCTTAATTTGATCATCGGTATTTTGAAAACGTTCAGGTGTTAGGTTTGAAGTACACAATATCTCAAACAGTTGCCAATTTGCTTTTTTAAAATTCCACCTAGATGATGAAGAATCAGCAATTGGGTTGCTGGTTTTCAGAATGGTGGGAAAGTGATCGCTGCCACAGAGGTCATCATGGACCGACCATTCAAATTCATTTAATAAGTTGGCATCCGTAAGAGAAAGGTCAAGGGCTGAATACATTCCAGTAGCAGGATGTAAATAAGTGTTAGAGGCATCGTTATATATGCATAAATTATTGTCGTTAATGAATTCCTCAAGTATCTTCCCTTTACTATTTGTATTTACGCTTCCCATATAGGATTGTGACCATTCAGGTCCCCATGATAATGCATGGCTTAGGGAGCTGATCGTAAAGTTGTTGAAGATCAGATTGTCGCAGTAACGTAGAGGGAGGGATATACAATGAGCACAGAGTAAATACAATGTGCATAGTTAGCCGGACAGCAACAGCTTGAAGATTTGTATTAAGAGGAACGGGGCTGTTAATGACTCCCTGCCGTATAAAAATAAGAAGCCCTCCAGAAGCCCTATCTCCTGGTGGAGAAAAGAAATGATGACAATTGTATTGTCGTAAGTCAAATGTGTCAGTAGGTTTGAGATACGTCTCTTGGAGGCACAGTGCCGACGGTTTATAATCTTGAAACAACAGCTGTACTTCATTTAAATTCTTTCTGAGTCCTCTGCAATTCCACTGGATTAGATTTAAAGATTGAGTCACGGAGGCTCAACTGGGGACCTAGTCCGTGAACGTGAGGAAGAAACGTTTCTTCCTCTCTCCTGAGATGGAGTCACCTCCATATCCAAAGGAGCAAATGCGTTTTCAATGGTTATGTCCGTAGAAGGGAGATTTCCCAACTTTCGACTGTTTGTTTTGCCTTTTTTTTTCTTTCCTGGTTTTTTGAATGTCTGATTTGTCAACATTATGCTCGGTTTGAACCACAATCTGATTAGTTTGTGTTTCTGAAGATACATTTTTTGGTGGAGTGTTTGTACTAAGACTGAGAGGCTGATCTGAAATTACCCACGTTAACTCAGTCTGACATATGATAGATGAGGTTGGTACAGACCGGGTAACCACAGCAGAGTAGGACAAAGTGGTAGGATTTTGTGTCTGGCTTGCGTACAGTTTCTTGGCTTCAAAAAAAGAAATGTTATTTTTATATTTGATTTTGACTATTTCAGACTGTTTTTGCCACTCAGGACATGACTTTGAAGAGGCAACATGACTGCCTCCACAGTTTGCGCATTTCATGTCTTTTTGACAATCTGAAACATCATGGTGTTCACCACACCGATGACACACAATATGACTGTGACAAGATTTTGAGCCATGGCCAAATTTCTGACAGGTGTAGCATCGGAGTGGAGTGGGGATATACACTTCCACTCCGAGATTCAAATAACCAGCCTTAATGGATCGTGGAACTGATGCACAGGCAAAAGTCACAAGATATGTGTTTGTGTTTTTAACAGTGCCATCAATTTTTTTCGTGAAACGTTTAATGGATGTGACCCCTTGATCTTCTAGTTCAGATTGAATTTCTTGTTCAGACATGTCGGACAGGCATCGATCTCTGTCTCGAATAATGCCCCAACATGAGTTAAGCGTTCTATGAGGGGATACTACTATCTCAATTTTGGCAAACTGAGTGACCGAAAGAAGATTGAGAGATTGTTGCTTTCTCTCACATTCCACTAGAAATGAACCATTTCGAAGACGAGTTACCTTTTTCACATCTCCGCAAATTCCAGAAACAGCTTTGGACACAGCAAATGGATTTAATTTGATAGGTTCATGATCAGAAGCCTCAATCACCAAGAACCGAGACCGGGATTCTACTTTTTTGGAAATAGTTTCGTTGGAACCATCACGTTCCAAACGTCTCTTTTTTTCATATCGAGCGGAACCAGGGTAGTTTTGTGACATGGTGAAGGATATAAGTTCAACATCCCTGCTCCCCACCCACCACCGAGTGTCAACAAGGACAGTGTTACATTGCACCGGACATCCAGGATGCAAACACCGAGGATACAGGGATGTTATACTCCAGCAAGTATGACACGAAAAGCTGAATTGGTTTACCAAATTAAATGTCTGGCTGGTTCGGCCCATAACAAGTAACCAGAAACCTACAGATTTCGGAGGTCAACGTCAC